GGGGGGGCGGGGGGTAAAATAATAAGCCATCGACCCCAGACACCATTTTATCTGATTGACATGAAAGTTTGGTCATAACAGAGTGCACCAAAACGTCCAAAGGGCCCATAACTGAAACGACACAGAAAGTCGGCCATTTTGGTTCGAAGCAGACAATTTGGGTGAATTCCATCGGCAATGACCTCACAGAAAGATTTGGGGGGGAAAATAAACAAATAAAATTACAAATAAAAATGTGCCCCAGACACCACTTCCATCAAATTGGCAACAGGACACGCCCAAAAGTCTGAGTCTGAAACTGAAGAGCAATTCTACCAATTTGGTTTTGAAGCCGCCATTTTGAGTCAGTTGGCTCACAGGTTGAGAAACTCCGACGAGGGAATGAAACCAAACTGGAGGAAGTTATCTACGATGGATCAACTTAAAGTCAGGAGATTTTTGGGCCGGGCCTTTATGCCATCTCGTCTCGTCAAGTCTGACAAAGTTTAGGCGTGCGATGGCCCCTTGACAACTCCTCACAAGGTCATACAGTTGTGCTCCTAAGCTAACGTAGCCCCACCTGCCTGCGCTTCGTCGTTGCTTTCAGCGCATCTGAGATTGACACATTTCAGATAATCTGGCCGAGCTCCAACTTCCGGTTGAATTCTAAAGCACCTCAGGGGGACTGCTAGTGTTTTGTTTTTTTTTTTCAAATCTAAGACTGGAACAACTCCGGATAGTCTCAGAATGATTTGGGGACATGCAGTCACCCGATGAAAACGATGAATATTCGCTCTCTGGTTAAAGTCTCGGTTGACAGAACCTTTCCCTTCCTCCCCCAAGTCATTTTCATGCCCAAAGTGGACATGGGTGTGCATTTTTTTGCCTCGCTTTGATCTGCCGGAGGTGTGGAAGACCAATTCAAGTCTGCGTAATTGCGCCTGCCGTTCCTTTGCGGCCACTCACCCTTTCCGTGTGTGCCATCGCTGCCCGGTCCCTTCCTCGGCGTCCTCCTTGTGACATTTCAGCACCTGGCGGACGCGCTGATAATACGGCGGGAAAAACCCTCCCAGAAAAACCCAGGTGGGTGGCACCCGTCACCTTTCTAACGAGCGCGGGAGGGAGACGGGCACGGAGAGCGAGAGAGAGAGAGGGAGGCACAAGTAAAGACGGGAGCATTTGAGTTTTCTTGTCTTCTTTTTGTTCCTTCCTCCCTTCTTTCCTGGATTTTTTTCTGTCTTTCCTTTCTTCTCTTCCACGCTTCCTTCTTTCAGCGTTTCATTCCTTCACCTCTTCCTCGTTTCCTTCCTTCTGTTGTTTCCTTGCTCTCTTTCCTTTCTGCCCTGCTTTCTGCTGCTCTTTTGCCCATTCCTTTCCTTGCTCCCATTCTCCCTTCCTTCTCCTTCCCTCCTTAACTCCTGACTGGCTCATTCGTTCCTTCCTCTCTGTATTTTCTCCTCTGTCCTTTTTTCCCCCCTTTTCTTTTTCCTACCTTGAGTTCCTTCCTTCTGTCCGCCCTTCTCTCATTCCTCGTTTTCATCCGTGTCCCCTTTTTCATTCAAAACTTCCTTTTGTTCCCAACGCTCATCTGTTCGCCTTCTTGTTTCTTCATTCCCTCCTTTCTTCTTCCATTCCTTTATTCTTCTCCTCTTATTTCCTTCCTCCATTTTTTTTGTCCTTCCGACCTTTTTTCATTCCTTCTTGCCTTCTGTCGCCATTCTTTCCTTCCTTCTTTCATTTCTTCCTTTTTTTTCCCCCTCCGACCATCCAAGGCGGAGTAAGTGCCCAGATGACGATAGAGCGGTTTCCGATAAATCCATGTTAAGGAATAAAGACTATCGATGTATCAGTGAGTCAAATCAGATCAGGTCAGCAAATGGCTAATAGAAGGAAAGTAGCAATTGCTATTTTTGCAGGTTGCGAAGGGGCGGCGACATAAATGCCCGCGCTGACAGATGACAGAGCTCAGCGATGCCTTTGCTCCAAATTGGCACAACGGGCACAAGTTGGTGGCCTGACAAACAAAGCCATCCAGGTACACCTCCAATCTAAAAAAAGTCTTTCTCGAGGCGATCACTGGCCAAGCGGCAGACTTAAGCTGGCTCGGTGAGGCCCTTCTGTCTGGCCGCGTGAGCCACTTACTGACCCGGACGTCATCCAACAGACGGCATTAAACCACCACGCTGGCCGTTTGTCTACGTCTTAAAATAAATGCCTCGAGGCTGTGGAGTCACGACGGATTAGCCCAAAAAAAAAAAAAAAATCGTGCAGCTACATTATGAGACGGAAGAAGTGGCATTTTCCCCAAGATAAAGTCATGTTTTCGTACCAACGCGATGCGACGCCGCCCACGTATGTCGCTGATGACATATGAACCGCCATTGTTGATATGATGTTTGTTTTATTGGTGCAAAGGTCCTCTTTTCAAAGTATGTCTTTTTTTTTTTCAATGAACATGACATCATCATTTATTGCAAATTATTTTGGCGCATAACCCCAAGCTGCGGACTCGCAGACTACCCCCACTGAGCCCCCCCA